AGTTGGCCAGCTCTCTCTGTGTGAATGAGTCCAGTCAAAGAAGAGAAAAAGAGAAAGCATATCCAGCCAAAGGCAACAAAACGCTTGAGCTTATTCACCTTCCTTCCTTGACCTCCATACCAATTTGATTTGAGGCTACCTCATCACTATATTGAATGTGATTTACATGGTTCATTAATTAATAAGCTAGAATTATATTAAGAAGCCATGACTTCACTGTTAACTAATGGGTCTGTCAAGTTCTCACTGAAGATTTTAGGGATAAGGCCCAAGGGGCATAACTTTGATTAATTCCATTCATATCAACTGCCACTACCTTAAAGATATGACCTAGCTGATGAGTAGTAATTGCTTATAAGGAATTGTGACCAGCTCCTAAATTTGGCAAAGAAAAAGAAGCATTGAATTATACTGACCTGGAAGACCTTGATAAAAAATGTCAGAGTTCAGATGAGAGCACCGTTTTGAGCTTTGTCTGATACTTTGCATTTATCTGAGCTACAACCTTGAGAAAGCTCTGGGAGACAAGTCTTTACTTAAAATATTGTGGGAGGAAGAGCTTAATGAGTGCTTGTGTGGGGATGTAGCAGATGCTGAGACCTGAACAAAACAAGCGTAGATAATAACAAACAGATAAAAGCTGACACAAGGTCTGCAGAGGAACCAGATAGCCCAAAACATCACTTTGTACTTTGATTTACCACCATTCACATTGTGGAGTGAATTGCATTTGCTTTGTAACCATCATTTTGTAAAGCGGGGGAAATATTTATTAACACTGCCACAGCAGTTGCTCAAAAGGCATAGCATTACTTGCTTGCTTCTTGAAAGTGCCTACGGATGGTATTTAACACCTCAAAGTACTAGATGTTATAAACAAAATAAGTATCAACTCTTCTCTCAATGATCTAGCAGTTTCAACATATAGTGAGAGATTAAAGGGAGAGAGAGAAATTGAAGAGGCAGGTGAAACAACATATTAAATAAGTAGGCAACTATGGCAACTACATTGGCTCAGGCCTGTCAGAGGGATGGGGAAGAAATGAGAGGGGTTGAGACAACCCTCCATTAGCTCTGCTTAGTGCTACTTGTACTCCAGTCTCATGAGAGAGGACAGACTGCAGTACAGTTTATTTGTCCATCACCAACCCAACCATGCCTGGCTGAAGTGGTGAGAGTTTCATGTCCTTTTGTAATATGAGAGGTTGTGTCGCTGACCAAGATCTAGATGCAGTATGGGCATGTGTGAGAACACGTAAAACAAGAAAGGTTTTTCTTCTGTAGTCAGTGATGCTTTTCCAGTTGCAGAAGTAAAGCAGAATTTGGAATGTGATCCAGAACACCTGGATTTTTGCTATCTCATGAAGCAGTCCTACTGAAGCAAGTGCCTGACCTCCATACTGAGTCTATGGAGATATATGGTTTCCTCTTTGGAGGAAAGCCCAACCTGCCTGGTTGAGTTCTCTGATACCAAAGGCATGAAGTTCTTTGGCTTTGCTACTCTTATCTAGCTCTTGATTAGGGGAAGTGATATCCTAGTATCTAGTTTCCAAAGGTGAGAGGTGCACGTGGTGTGTACGGGGCTGTGAGTTCTAAATACATTGTCTCCTGAGCAAGAGCTCTTGGAGTTGTGAAGCCCTCTGCCTTACCCATACCCTACCCATTAAAGAATGAGTCCTTAATAGTGTCCATGTTTTACAGCTTAATAACTAAAGAACAGAAAGGTTTAGTGACTTAGCTTTGTGACCTCTGTAGCTTACTGGACAAGGCCCTGTTAGCTCAAAAGAGCTTCATAGCTGACAGCCACAATTTTGACACTTGAGGCCTACAAAGAAATTTTAAAATGACTCGTATCTACAGCTTAGAGGGAAGACAGGCTATTCCATGAATATGTGAGTGGTTTATGTACCTCTGTGATGAATACATCTATCTTTCTAAATTGCTGGTGTTAATTATCAATGAAAAGATAGAGGAATGATGTCTTTTTGGTACATAGTTAGGTCTAATTCACCTTGGTGTTCTTGGATGAATAAGATCCAGTATGTCTGTTAATAGATGTCTTCCATGACCCAGCCATCAGAGGAGAGTGATGCATTACTGTGCATTTTCACTGGTAGGTATTTTCTATAGTAATTACACAGTTACCAAGATAGATAATTGTTGGTTTCCAGATATTACCACTGTGGTCAGAACCACTTGTTCCCACTCTCAGTTTTAATTTAATTCTCCTCTGATCCTACCTTTTCATTTATTTAAAATTATGAAAGGAGTTTCTACATTTAACTACACAAAGAAAGGCGATAGCTGCTTTAAAAGCCTGATTGATTTTGAACAGTATGAATGTGTAGTGAGGGTAGCTACCTGGGAACAAAGCATGCTTAAGGGATCACACAGAAAGCTCACACACTGAAAGAGAGAGCTGAACTAAGATTACTATACTTTTTACATCATCCACAAATCATAAGCATAAAGAACAAACAAAAGCACGCATTTCATCACTGCAGTAGCATTAGCTGTGACCAGAACACACAGGTTTTCAACTGCTCTCTCCACAGTGTGTCAGTGGAAAAAGGAAAACTGAGAGGCGTTCTGCAGAGTCATGCAGAGGAAGTGCCCCCGGTTCATTGTGCTTCCTCGCACGCCTGAAGGCGCTCTGTGTGTGAGCATTTGCAAGAATAAACCATATGTTAATGACTTACTTACTAACCTCAAAGCCAAGTCCATATGCTATAAACTACCAGTATCACCTTTCTTTTGTTCACTGTGCTACTGCCTGAACAAAAACCATCATATCAGAGAATGTCAGGTATAAGTATTGTAGCAAAATGGGAACTATGAAAGTCAGTCCATACATTTAACAGAAAGCCATTTTGAGAAAATGTATATGTACTGAAAGCAGGATAAAAATAATATATAAACATATCCACAAGCCAAAAATATGATGTTCTATGATGATGAAAGGTGCTTGAAAAACATTAAGACAAGCAAAGCAGATTCTTTCCTACCATAAAAAGCTTTGCTCAACACAGGAGGGCTTCATGACGGCTGGAAAATATGAGAAAGGAAAACAGACTAGAATATCACCCAGACTTATTTTGAAATGAGGTTTTTGGCTTTCAGAATGTAATTCTATTGCGTATTGTATTTGTGTGAGTAATGCAAAGCTACCATATCCATATGATAGGTGAATAAGCTGACACTTTGTATATTTCAATGATTTTCTTGTGGTTTTTAATTTTCTTTTGTCATTTCCTCATCCCTTTTTTGTTGCAATAGCTTTGATAGTTCCCCATATATTCTGCTTCTTTACCCTGCTGTTTGCCCTGAAAGGAATTGACAGGCCCCCTATCTGGCTTGTTAAGCTCTTGAAGCTTGCTGCATCCTGCATGTAGCATGTTTCTGATTATGCCGGCAGCACAGACATGCGAGCTCACAGCTGCTGTGGTGCTGCCAGATCAATACACCCACAAAGCACAGCGAGCCTTTTGTGTAGGTTCAGAAATCAGATTTCTCTTGTCTAGAGGGCAATCTGCAAAATAAAATCTCCTGACATGAAGTAGTCCTCCTGGAGCTTCACCGAGATATGCATTTATCAGCGTATTTAACAAGGCACTAAGCAGCTCTCAAGGCTGACTGACAAGAAGGGGTTTCCTTGCTCCAAATCAATGCCACCTCCCCCTCCAGCTCTCCCCCGCACCACCCTACAATCCACACATGATAAGACACAACATATGTTCCTCTTTAGACTTGCCTGCAAGAACACCAAAACCTTAAAAGACGCATCAGTTGCGGACATAAAGCTGTCAGGAAACAATTATCAACTCTATCTCTTCAGGATCTTATTAAGCCACAAGGGTCTTGATAACTTTGCAGATACCTTCTGTAGTAGAAATAATCAAGGCAGAGATAATGCAATTTATTGATAAAACATGGAGTCTCACTGGGGCAGCTTAAAGCCTACTCAGCCGTTAGTTTGGGGGGTGGCTGGACTGTTGTTCATTTCTGTGTTTTTGTGTTGTGTTTTTTTTTTTTTTTTTTCCTCCTTCCTTTGTGTGGCTGATATGACTCAATTTATATTCTTTCCTCCCCTCTGACATGGAGAAGCTCATTTTTCTCTTTCCAAGTACACTGAATACACAGCTTTAGTCTGCAGTAATTGCCAGCTCAGTGGCCAAGAGAAAGAAAGGGGAGCGGGATACAAGGAAGGATCAATTACAGCATGCCATGAAGAACAGACTAAATCCATCCTTTTTCAGACATTTGCCCTACCACTTCCCCGGGAATGGCTGTGCTATTGGTGAGCCTGGCAGGAGTGCTAGTAAGTTGCGTTGGCAGCAGGATTTTGACTCTCAAAAACATGGGATTATAAATCCATAAAAACTGAGATGCAAAGAAAAGGTGATTACATGTTTGGGTTTAACTGACATTTTAAACATTTGGGGCTCATCTCTGTCTGTGCCTTTTCTCTCAACCATCCACGATTTCCTCAGGGACTGGATTTGGAGAAGTCAGCAAATTTTATCTGAAAATAGCCTAAGGATGGATTTTTCCTCAGAGGAGCCGTTGCCCAAGAGGAAGTGGGGTCGAAGCATCAGAGAAATGTTAATTTAGCTTATGTTAAGTTCTGAGCAGTCCTTTTATATGTTTGGTTTTCTTTGTTTGATCGGTTTATTTATTTATTTATTGTATTTCTTGTTTTGAAAAGCAGCTTTAAAAGAGGTATTTTGTGGAGACATTTCAGAAAGGCCCTAAAGGAAGAAAATGTTAGGTTGAATGGCAGGACCTAACACTGGCTTTGAAGAACCCATGGAGATGAGACCCAAGTTTCCTACTTCGCCCATGTGAAGGCTGGAACAGCTTTGCTTTGTGTACTCATCATCAACCTGGCTGAAAAAAATGATATTGATTATGGCTGCAGAAGAAGAAAACTTAAAAGATTTTAAAATGAGACTGTCCAATTTTATTTATTTATTTATTTATTTATTTATTTATTTGATCAGGTCAAGGAGGATGACTAACTTGGTAAAGCTTCAACAAAAGCAGAAACCTCAGAAAAGCATCCATTAGAAGCCCATCACTGAAAACACTCTGAAATTCAGTAAGGTGAATCAGTTCTTTTGAGGGCTACAATTAGGCAATCAGTTTTATATAGTTTATTAAAGATGTCCCATGGCTGTGCTTCCTTGTGTTGTATAGTAAGGTGTCTTAATTAAGATCTCTTGCCTGGAATTTACTTTAAAAAGTGGCAATATTAAGTGATATCTCTGCCTAATTTCACTGGGAATTGTGGGAGGTACCTGTTCTTAACTGAAAGTCCATGGCTGAGAAAGCTTTGGATGCTTCACTTTCCCCGGTTTGTAGGTGAAAACTGAAGCTAGCAACAGACTGATGAAAATCTCCTGAATGAAATATTTGCCTTTCTCTAAGGCAGCAGGGTGTAGGTGAATCAAAAAGTGCCCATCCCGTACTTGTTTGACTGACGGTTCCTGGTCTCTGGGGACTTCAGATCTATGGCCTCATACCCCTGCAACGACATTAACTTGCTTTGGTACGCCCTCGTTTCCAGTTCCTTCCAGCTGTCTTTTGCACAATTTCTCCCTTATTTTGCTACTAGTCAAAGGATCTAGTCTCCTGTGGTGGTGTAGGATCAAACTTCTAGTGGTAAATAACCTTTAAAAAAAAAAACTCAGCAATTATTTATTTTTTTATTTATTGTCAAAGGTTGAGTTCTCCTACACTATTCCCATCTTTGGAGAGGTTCCCTTAAGGTTTTATACTACAGTAAACCACAAGGGCTGGATTCATCTCTCTTTGCATTTAACCATTGAGGGCCTCTCTGAGGTGATTCGTGCTGCTTCTGCAGAACGTCTTTGTTCATGGTGAATATCTTTTGGAAGTGCCTGTTTCCCTGCACTGAAGAGGCCTGGTGCCTGCCTTTTTATAGATGGATATATTTGGTTGCAGAAATACTACCAAAAGTCAATTGACCGATGACATTGTATGTATTATTGCCATAAAATATTTGTACTAACAGATCTTATGAATCAGTGCAAAGGCAGAGGTTCATAACAGAACAAACAAGTTTCTCAGGAAGTTCTTTGTTACAATACAATCCTGGCTTCTTAGTCCTGCTTTTTTATTTGAAGTGATTTATCTTGAGGCTATAGACAGCTGATATTTTTTGCCTATTCATACTTTGTTGTGGTATTATCTTTAGAAGTATAACTATACCCATGGTGTTAGAGCATCCCAAATTGCTCTTATCTGAGGAAAAGGAAGAGGTGATAAGATTTTTTCTTTTACTCCCCCTACCTATCTCATTACCCTTCTCTAACTCAGTTGAGTATGTTTTTCATTTTCATTTCAAAGTGCTCTTTTGTTTCTGATATTGAAGACTGTATTTTAAAAGGGGTTTTATTTTAGTGATGGATGAAGTCCATGACTATCCCTCTTCATTTACAACTCAATTTTAAGGATGAAAGTTTCAATCATGCAAAAGCATAGGAAAGTACTCCATCAGTACAAATCTGAGTCAAATCTGAGTACACATAAGGAGTTTGTTTTTTGTTTTTTGTTTTTTGTTTTTTGTTTTTTTTTTCCAGCAAGAGAAAAATAAGAGCAAGATAGTGAGTACAATCAGACAGGTGTGCTCTAGAACACAGCAAGGGCATAGATCCAAGATGATCCAATCAGGCAACATTATGATATGTTATTTCAAGCTGTAGTCTCTTAGAAAAAGAACCAATTACTGTCCTTTAGGTTATTAATTTCTAATCATTTGCAAATGCTGTTTTCTGACATACACGAGACATAACAGATTGATTAGATTCATTTACAAATGTACACATTCTGCTTCTAGTCTTTAAAAATAAAACAGAAATAAGATATAATATCATATGTGGTGTTTCATACTTAATTTTTGCAAGACTTTCTTTACTTTGAGGGATTTTCTGACTAAGTAACTAAGCCTATGACTGTGTCTATGCCTCTCTTTACTCATAGGGCCTCTGTCGGAACAGGAGCCAAATGAAGACTGGGGATCAGGTCAGTTTATATTAGTCACAGAAAAGGAGGTTATTCCTGTCTTGAAGAATTTGTAGTCCACCTGCACTTCAATATCTACTGTTGCATGTAATAGAAGCCAGCAGAAGTTGTTGGAAAACTTTCCACAATCTTAAAACAACAACAATAACCATATCTGGGTATGTACATTTAATTCAGTGCATTGATTTCATTAATCTTCTGAGGATGTGTTTACTTTTATATGGTTCATCTGAACAAGAAAGCTAAACACAATGTGGAAGTAGAGAGAAAAAATAAAGTAACTGTATTGAATTATTCATGGAAAAAAGTTTAGGACCATTCTCCCCTATTTTCCTGTGAAGATTGGCGCTGATGCAGGAATGTCCCTAAACTCCTGCATGATAACTACGGTTGTTTTTATTGCAGTTTGAAAGAGTCTTGCAAAATTCTGTTAGTTGCTGATGGAGTATTAGGAGATACAGGCATGACAGGGTAAGAGTTTTATGAAGACAGGGCACAAGCAGAAGTGAGTCAACAACAGAGGAGAAAAAATAGGGATCTGAAGAGGAAGTATGTGACTAAAAAGCAAAGAGAAGAACAGCAGGCAATTTGTTTTGTTTCCTAAAGAAATTCTGGAGGATCTGACCCTCTGCAAGATGTAGGTAAGGAGTCCATCAGTGCTGGACAGGAACAGCAGTGCATTCTGCATAGTGAGACCTCAGGGTAAACAAAATTAGAACAGGAGCAAAATATTTTCATTTCTTATGCAACAGCAGTAAAGAGATAATACTAATGATAAAACTAGACTCTTGGGTAGCGTCCTCTCTCCAGACACGAGCCATCACTGAAAGGAATATGCACTCTGAGGCCTAGATGATTTTGATACATCTATGTAGCTAAAATGTCAAGGAGATAGCCTTGGAGTCAGCTGGAGATTGCCTGACCTCTGACTCTTTCTACCAGTAAAGATGTAATTCTCTCTCTCTTCTCACTCTCTCTCTCTCTCTTTTTTTTTTTCTCTTTTATATTTCAACATCTGATGGTTGGTTTTGCAGGAAAGCAGAACCATGGACATGGGTCAGATCCTGCATATTTTTTCCCCCTTTTCCAATCTCTTTTGTTTGCTTTTTGCTATACACTTATGGTGACACATCCCATCTGGTCCTGCTGTATTGCACGATCCAAGATAATACATAGTGCTGTTAGCAGTCAAGATGGGACACATCATAGCTTGTTCCCAGTCTGTGTTGCCAAGGACCTTAATCTTCTGCTTCAGAGTTACAAACAATTTTTAATTTCATTTGAAGACATAGAGTGGTAAACATCTCAGAGAACTCTACATTTCCGTGGTCTGGCTGATTCTGCACCCCGACCAGCTTGTTTAAAGCTTCCTCAGGGATCTTTGCTCCAGAGATACCCTGACTGGGCTGGAGGTCAGGTGAGCAGCTCTGTTTCTTCCTGAACCTCCCTGTGTTATCACAGTCATCTTGATTATGTCTCAGCCCTGTCCCTTTCCCTGCTTGGAGGCCTCTTGTCAGGGAGGGGCTTTCTTAGGGTCCGTTTCAGTCAGTGCTCTGTTGCTGAGCTGAGGGGAAAATAGCCGGAGCAGAGGCAAAGGACAGAGCCTGTAATAATAAAGTCATCTTTCCACACCCTGTTTTTCATGTTCCATATTTGAGTTTGAAAGCTTGGTATTTTGAACTATGACTCACCAATTTTGCTTTATTGCTAATGGTCTGTGATTGGTAAATTTTATGACTTTAATCAGTCAAGCTGCTGTGTGCAAAGTAAAGCTAAGCAGACAGTTTTTAACTGCTGCGCCGAATAGGGGTAGGTAATAGAAATAGATAATGAGACTTTGCCATGTCCAAAAGTACATTGATTAATCTGACATTGCAGGCATAGCTGGTGTGCACACGCACAAAGGCAGCACTTCCTGCTTTTGTTTACATTGAGTTTCCCCTGTAGTTTGTGCATTTCTGTGATTTGTCTGTTAGTCAAAGGGGTGCACGGTGCCGGGGCCTTGCCGTCTCGTGGGACCTTCAGAAATGCCTGAGCTCAGTCGGGGGGAAGAGAGCCCCAAAGGATTCAGCGTGGTCACACAGAGCAGTGAGAGAGAACTTCCCTGCAGAGCCTTGTCGAGGATTACACCCTCCCGCGGACACCCTGTAATCTCATAATCCCTAACCTATGACTTGCCTCTGATCTCCTCTCACTCCAAATTATTTAGACTTCAAGTAAGAGGAAGTTTAGAGAAGAACAATTACCTAAAACCATTTCCATTAAGCTCCTAAAACATTTTTTAGCCAGTTTAACAGAGCAGTTAATGAGAGCAGTAGAGGAGACCTTGGGAGGTTAGCGTGGATGCCTTTCATCTTTCTACTCTATTTTTCTTATCTCCACCACTTCTGCTGAAGCGAACAACCAAACAAGATGTGTCTTCAGTATGCACTTATCAGTTTGTGTGTTATAGTTGAGAGTGAAGATTTTATTTTTATTTTTAATTCATTTAAGATTTTTAATTGATGTGATATGTATGACTTGAAATGTTTCCTCCACATATGCACAAACGAACATGGAAATAATAGGTTTGGTTACTACTCAAAAGTAGATTTACATCACCACTTTTCTTTTTCACAGAAAAATGAATTCTTATGTCCTTATTCTTATGCCCTGCAGGAAGCCTTATACTACAATGAGGAGATGGTTAGAATATCTAGAATATTCTTTCCGTTTCTGTTGTGTTTTGTTGTTTTTTTTTTGTTTTGTTTTGTTTGTTTGTTTGTTTTTAAAATGAATTTCAAATATAATTTCAAATTAACCTAAAATGTAAAAGAGACTAGCATCAGTTATTTATTCTTTACAAATAGGTTTATTTTCTTAATTTTGTTATTCACATATCTCTAAAATGTGCATCATTCTGCTATATGTATCTACTTTTATACAGTTCTTATGTAAAAGTGAACTTTTATAAAACCATTTTTCCTTATTATTTTAAAACATGATTCTTAAAACATTTGCATTTGCAAAACTCTCCCCTTGCTTCTCTCTCTCTCCCCCCCGTCCCTCCCCATCCCCCCAAGATATTGCAGTTTCTTTTGTTCTATGGGGTTTTCTTCATAGCATGAAAGACAGAAGAAAAATGTGCACATCCCAGAAATATCAGTAATAGTAATAATAATTTCTTTTTCATGACTGTTGAAAAGGCATGATTAGCAAGGCCTGTAAAAACAAACCTTGTAAGAATATTTACAGGAAAATAAGAACCATCACAAAAATGATTTTTCAGTTTAGCAGAAATTAGGGAAAATAACTTGCCAGAAGAGAAGTACAACTGGAATCTGTCACCACACATCACTCAGTGACTCCCCTTCTCCTGTGCAATCTTTGTCTTTGTATTTGAACTGCATGTTTTGGGGTTATATATATATATATATATATATATATATATATATATATTATTTTTTTTTAATTTATTTATTTTTTTTCTGTCATTTCAGCAGATTGTTTTTTACAGTGTGTCTCTGATCTCTGCTGGGGTCTCAAGGTGTTGCAGTAAGATAATTTGTAATGGGTAAAATGACAAACATCCATCAGTCCCTACAATGATTTTTTACAAGGCTATCAACACACCTATTTGAAAACTGTCCCAATTATTTGGCTTTCAAAGGCAGACCTAGGCCTTCTGTACTGAGGTTTTTGCAATATTTCATTTGATGATTTCTGCACAAAATTTTGCAATCACATTAATCATTGGAGTAACTTCCATAATTTTATAAAACCAAAATAATAAATGCCATCACCACTAAAACAGTGTAATTCACTTAATGGTGTTGCATCCTTTTAAAGTCAGTAGTACACTAGAGTCTGTCCTTCCTTGCTGTTATACTGGAACCACAATGTAAAAATGCACTGTTGCCTTCGCAGGAAAATATTAAAAGAGAGTGCTTTATCTCTTTTACCCCTTTGACCTCTCCCTCCCAGCAATAACTAGCTTACTGTAGCTGTATTCTTCCTCTCTTAAAGCAAAAGCAATTAATCTGCTTTCAAGATTTGCAGAATCTCATATTTCAAAAAGTACCTGGTTTTGCTTAGAATGGCCTTGTTGTCATCATGCGATTGAAAAATGATCTGAAACTTTTTATCAAAGATCAAACAAACCCAAACTGTACTTACCATTAGCTAAGTATTTGGCCTGGGCTGAGTCATTCCACCACATACGGGGCTGGTGAGCTCAGTATCTTCCCTGATCAGCACTGGAGCGTGGCACCCACAGGTTGAATTAGACTGCAACATGTCTCTGTAAGTGAGTTTAAGCTTGGCAATAGGCATGTATAACAATGAACTTTTTGTTTTGTTGCTGTGGGTTGCTGTGGTAAAGATGGGTCTTCTACAAAGCACAAAATCAATTTCATATGATGAGTAACTATGACAGTCTAGAGGAGAGGGTTGATGCAGAGCTTATAAACTGTATTTAAATTAGGAGCCTTATGTTAGATTTCAAACTCCAGTTTGAAACCAGTCCAGTGGGTACCCTCACTACTGTCTTTCTACTGCCTTCTTTGGCTGAAATTCAATGGGCTGATGACAGCATTAATGATGGAAAGTCATTAACCTGAGGAAATCTCATTCAAATGTAAGTAAATGGGAGCAATGTAATAACCAAAATCTGCCACATTAAGTTTTCTCTGACTTCTTTTTAGGAAGCTCGAGATTAGAGCAGTTGAGTTTTTCCCTGAGGCAGAGCAAAGGATTTAGATGTAATTTTGCAGCCCTTGAACTGAACATGATTTCAAACCTGAGGAGTTTGTGCAGGAGAGAAAGCAACGTTCCTCTCAAGGTAGGATTAGCCAAGGAAGAAGAAGAATAGTTGCATAAGGGAGGGGTGAGGGGCAGAGAGAGAGGATCCAAAGAACAACTACCACCCCAAATCATACATAGTTGAGATAGAAAAGACAAAAAGATTCTGACATATCCGGAAAAAAAATGGGAGAAGGAAACAGAAGCATGTGTGTTTATTATTTTGTCTAGCACTGTATCCTTCCTGTGCTAACTGAAGTAGAGGATAATTGTATTTAGAAACCCATAGACATCTTGGGCATCTGTTAACTTTCATCTGTCCCATGTCACTGAATAGTAACATGTAAATCCAACATGCTGCAGGCTAGATTTAAGGAATTCAGTGTTTAAATCACTGTGGTGTCTGGAAGCTTAGGACAGCCTAGAGGCCATTTAGCTCCATTTATGAGAGGAGATAACAGACATCCATATTTCATATTAGAAAGGTGTCAGATGTGCCAAGGATGGGACAAAGACCAGTGAACCAAGAGAAGATAAAACTCATGTGTTCGTCCTTGGGGTCCCAATACAGCAAGTTGGCCAGTATTCAGCGAGGGTTGGCCTCATCGGAGCTGAAACAATAACCAAGAATAAGGGGAGAAATATATATTCATAGTAGTAAGTGACTTTGCACATTCCATTCTTCTTGAACTCTTGGACTTGGACCAGAACTTCTTCATTTATACGATATATTGAAATACCACATTTTTTCCCCTCTAGTTAATTAATAAAAGCCTCTCACTGGAGTGCAGAGAGTGAACAGTTGAAAAAAAAGACACATACTGAGTTTTTTTCTAAGCTACTTTCCTCAGCAGTAAGTTCCACTTAGGCAAAATTAGCTCTGAGTTTGGAAAATTTTATGCAAAAGCCTAAGCCTCATTGTGTTTGCTTCTTTCCATCTTCTACAAAGACCTTTCCTCTTGTCTATGACCCCACTTCCCTGTTGGTGTCTCCTTCTCAGTGACCTGAGCTATTTTAAAATTGGGCAATATACCAAAGAGGGTTCATCCACAGAAGAAGGGAGTGCAGGATAAATTTTATTATTTTTTTTTTTTTCTGAACTAGAAATTTCTAATATCTTAATCTCTGAGCAGATTTAAAGGAACAATACATATCCGAGGTGCTCGTGTGTTGATAGAAGGGATGGTTGCTTCTGTAGCTAGAGCTAGCTTGCACACCTCTTCATTGCACTGCACTGCCAGACAGACAGGTTTCTGGGCAGTGCTCAAACACTTATTTCATCCGCAAGTGTAATACTGTGTATACGATGTAATGTGAAGGGCTCAGGCTACCCCTCCTGGGACATAAACATCCCCACCCATCACTGTCCTCACCATACACACAAGTAGCAGTTTTCTTCATGTTTTCAATGCTTGTGTAAAGGTACGTGTTACAACATGGCCCTGGAAATCTTTTCAATACCTTTATGAATGCTGCTATACTTTGTGTTATTCTAAAGCAAATCTCCGCCTTAGTGACCTAGATATTTGTTAGTTTTTTTTTCTTTCTTTTTTCTTTTTTTTTTCTTTTCCTCCATATCTTTCTATAATGGCTATAATTACCACTATAACTGGTAATTCACTTATACATAATTTCTCA